CAAAAAAAAAAAAAAAAAAACAAAAAAAAACAAAAAAAAAAACCCAGAAGAGTGATTCTCAGGGTGGCCTCTCTTGGGCAGGAGCCAGCCCAGGCAAAAACAGTAAGTTTTTTCCTTCTGATTTAAAAAGATACTAAGGCCGGGCACAGTGGCTCATACCTATAATCCCACCACTTTGGGAGCAAAGGCGGGTGGACCACCTGAGGTCATAGTTTGAGACCAGCTTGGCCCACATAGAGAAACCCTGTCTCTACTAAAAATAAGATAATTAGCGAGGCGTGTTGGCACATGCCTGTGATCCCAGCTACTCAGGAGGCTGAGGCAGGAGAATCGCTTGAACCTGGGAGGCGGAGATTGCACCACTGTACTCCAGCCTGGGCAACGAGAGTGAAACTCCGTCCCAAAAAAAAAAAAATAAAATAAAATAAATTAAGACATTGTGCGTTCCTGAAGGCACCGTGGGTCCTAGGCCATGTGCCTGATGATCCTGGCCTCAGACACATCCCTGGGCAGTCCAGGACCAGCCAGAACTGCAGCCCGAATCTCAGGGCTGGCTCTCATTGGCCAGCCTTGGTTACAAACCCTTCTCTGAACCAATCACTATGGCCAGGGGATGGGGCATTCGGCTGCCATTGGTCAGGGTCGGGTTCACCGGGCAGAGTGGGCGTGGCCCCCGCCACCAGCGCAGGGCCCCAGACGTGCTGCGCGGGTCTGGTTTGCAGAGACGGCTGTGAACATCGGCTTTGCCTGCGAGCTGCTGTCAGAGAACATGGTCATTCTGGAGGAGAAGGAGATCACGTAAGAAATGGGGGTTGGGGGTGAGCAAGGGGGGTGGGGAGGTGAGGACAAGGGGCACCCAGGTGCATTCCTCAAAGGACGGGGAGCCTGAGGCAAAGTGAGAAGAGGGGGATTGAGAGGGGAGAGAAGGGTAGAAGGAGGGAGTCAGAGCGTGGGCATGGAAGGAGAGTGGAGGGGACAGCGAGGGTACAGTAGAGGGAGAGGGCTAGAGGCAGAGGAGAGGGAGGAGCGGGGGAGGGGGGGGAAGAGGGGGGAGGAGGTGGGGCAGAGGAGGGAGGAGGGCGAAGGGAGGGGCAGTGGAGCCTGGGGGAAGTGGGAAGAAGCCCGCCCTCCCTCCCTTCCTCCCTCCCTCCCTTCCTCCCCTGACCTGTGGCCCTTGCGCCTGCAGCCGGATACTGGAGTCCTACTGGGACAGCAACAGCAACTTTCTCACCAAGAAGTCCCTGTCCGGGGTCAACCTGGCCTTGGTCATCAATGGAGACTTCCTGGTGAGTGTCACCAGGGTGGATGGGGGTCCCGGCACCAGGGAGGGGCCTGGAGGAGCTGCATGGGCCGAGCGGGGCCAGTCTGGCCTGGAGGCCATGGCCCCTGGCATAGTCCCCTCCCCGCTGGCTGGCCAGGACAAGCTACTTGTGTCCCTGCGGAAGGAGCCTCGCGCCCTGGTGCAGAACGTGAACGTGGACGAGGAGTGGCAGGAGCCTGCCCAGTCCAGGAGGGACTTCCTCCACGCCCGGCGCCTGTCCCTGATGTTCCGGAGCTTCGGGATCCCGCTGGCCCCGCCGGCCCCGCCACCGCCGCAGTCCCAGGACTCCGGAGGCCGCTGCACCTCCGAGGTGCTACAGGAGCGCACCTTTGTGGACCTGGCGTCCCACTGCCAGGCGGTCATCTGCTGCCGCGTGACGCCCAAACAGAAGGCCCTGATCGTGGCGCTGGTGAAGAAGTACCACCAGGTGGTGACCCTGGCCATCGGGGATGGCGCCAACGACGTCAACATGATCAAGAGTGAGTGGCAGCCGCGGGGCTGGGGTGCCTGGGGCAAGTTGGGGCGGCCAGTGGGGGGATGGTGGGGCTGGGACAGGTGGGGGGTGCCTGAGGAGGATAGCGGCAGGCCTAGGGGGCCTGGGGTGGGGGGGCAGCTGATGGGGGATGACAGGGCTGGGAGGGCTTGCGGCCAGTTGGGGGGGCCTGATGGGGCCAGTGGGGGGGGAGGGGGGGGGACCTGGGGCAGGTGGGGGACAGCCGATAAGGGGGCAGAACGGTGTGGGGGCCTGGGTTGGGTGGGGAGGGACTGGTTGGGACTGGAGGGACTGGGGGGGCCTGGGGACTCTGACCAGCTGCCTGTGCCCTGCAGCTGCAGACGTGGGCGTGGGGCTGGCGGGCCAGGAGGGCATGCAGGCGGTTCAGAACAGCGACTTCGTGCTGGGCCAGTTCCGCTTCCTGCAGCGCCTCCTGCTGGTGCACGGCCGCTGGTCCTACATGCGCATCTCCAAGTTCCTGCGCTACTTCTTCTACAAGACCATGGCCAGCATGATGGTGCAGGTCTGGTTCGCCTTCTACAACGGCTTCACCGCGCAGGTGCGCCCCGCCCAGGCTGCTCCATGGCCAGGGCCTCCGGGGGGGGCCACGCCCCTCCCATAGACCCCAGGAGCCCTGCTGGGTGTCCTGAGAACCCCAGGACCCTCAGTGGCCAGGGCTTGCCTGAGGCCACATGGCAAGGCTGAATTAGTAGAGGCCTAGAGACCAGGTGAAGGGAGGTGACGGTCCCTGTCTAGCTCTGTGCCCAACACCATCCAGGACATTTGCTTTGCTTTGCCTTGTTTTGAGACAGAGTCTTGCTCTGTCACCCAGGCTGGAGTGCAGTGGTGCGATCTCAGCTCACTGCAGCCTCTGTCTCCCGGGTTCAAGTGCTTCTCCTGCCTCAGCCTCCTGAGTAGCTGGGATTACAGGAGTGCGCCACCACGTCCGGCTGATTCTTCTATTTTTAGTAGAGATGGGGTCTCACCATGTTGGTCAGGCTGGTCTGGAACTCCTGACCTTGTGATCCGCCTGTCTCGGCCTCCCACAGTGTTGGGATTCATGGTGTGAGCCACAGCGCCTGGCTTTGGTTTTACTTTTTTATTTCTAGATTTTTAAAATGGAATTGCTTTCTAGTTTTGTTTGTTTTGAGACAGAGTCTCTCTCTGTCCCTCAGGCTGGCGTGCAATGGCATGATGTCAGCTCACTGCAGCTTCCGCCTCCTGGGTTCAAGTGATCCTCCTGCCTCAGCCTCCTGAGTAGCTGGGATTACAGGTGCGCGCCACCACGCCCAGCTAATTTTTGTATTTTTAGTGGAGACGGGGTTTCATCATGTTGGCCATGCTGGTCTCGAACTTCTGGCCTCAAATGATGTGCCCACCATGGCCTCCCAAAGTGCTGAGATTACAGGCGTGAGCCACCATACCTGGCCTGCATGGCTTTTTCGATGACGTCCAATTAAAACAAAAGCGTAGAGGTGCTGTAATGAGGGAATGTGATGGTGCTTTCCTCCCTCCCTTCATCTTTCCCGCCTTTATCAGGCTGCACTTTACCCCATCCCAGTCCCGCCTCCAACCCTGAGTGTAACTCGACTTTCTACCTCACCTGGAGCCCTCCCTGGGTGCCTGCTGGGCAGGTTCCTTGAGTGCCTGAAGGCTGACTTGTTCTCCTTGCCCTTTTTCCCTGGCTCAGCCCCTGTACGAAGGATGGTTCCTGGCCTTCTACAACCTCCTCTACAGCACCATTCCAGTTCTCTACATTGGGCTCTTTGAACAGGTGAGCAGGGTGAGGCCAGGCCTCCCTTCCAGGTCTCTGCTCATCCTCTCCTCCCGGAGGCCTGGTTCTGGAGTGGGCCTGGGAGACCTTCAGGTCTTGGGGTGGTGTTCGGAGGGTCTGGTCCAGCACCTCTCCCCGCCCACTGCCACCCAGCTCCTCCTGTGTGTGGGAGCCCATCCGTGCAATGAGGGGAGGGGATCAGAACAGAGGACCCTGCTAGGTTTATCACCCCCCAGGCCCAAGAGGCCCTGGCTACGTGATCTGGAGACGGGAGGGTGGGTCATAGGGAACGTCTCAGGTGATGGAAGTGTCCCACACCTACGCAACTCAGCACAGAAGCCACCGGCTACACGTGGCCAACGAGGAGCGCTTGTGCTGTGGGCAGTGCGACCCGGGGGCTGGATTTCACATCTGACTTCACGTTTGCTAGAGTGTTTCTTTTTGTGTGCGTGAAACAGGGTCTCCGTGGCCCAGGCTGGAGTGCAGTGGCACGACCTCAGCTCACTGCAACCTCTGTCTCCCGGTTCAAGCTGTTCTTCTGCCTCAGCTTCCCAAGTAGCTGGGATTACAGGCGTGAGCCACCACGCTTGGCCAATTTTTTTATTTTTAGTAGAGATAGGGTTTTGCCATGTTGGCCAGGCTAGTCTGGAACTCATGACCTCAGGTGATTCTCCTGCCTCGGCCTCCCCAAGTGCTGGGATTACAGGGTGAGCCACTGTGCCCGGCCGTGCTGGAGTCGTTAACTGTGGTGGACTGCAGATCACATAAACTGCTACCGTCTCAGCCAGACTTCCGCATGCAGCTCAGCACAACCAGTGCATTCGTGTGGCCACATGACCCACCTCCAGAGCTCTTTCCATCTCATTTTATTGTATTCTGTAGACGAAGTCCCATTCTCTCACCCAAGCTGGAGTGCAGTGGTATGATCACAGCTCATGGCAGCCTCCGCTCCTGGGCTCAGGTGATCCTCCTGCCTCAGCCTCCCGAGTAGATGAGACTACAGGTGGATACCACCTCACCTGGCTACTTTAAAGATTTTTTAGGCCGGTGTGGTGCTCACAGGTGTAATCCCAGCACTTTGGGAGGCTGAGGCGGGTGGATCACAAGGTCAGGTGTTTGAGACCAGCCTGGCCAACATTGTGAAACCTCGTCTCTGCTAAAAATATAAAAATTAGCCTGGCGTGGTGGCTGGTGCCTGTAATCCCAGCTACTCAGGAGGCTGAGGCAGGAGAATTGCATGAACCCAGGAGGCGGAGATTGCAGTGAGCTGAAACTGTGCCACTGCACTCCAGCCTGGGTGACAGAGTGAAGCTCCATTTCCAAAAAATAAAACATGTTTTTAGAGATAGGGGGTCTCACTATGTCATCTAGGCTGGCCTCGAACTCCTGGCCTTAAGCGATCCCTGACCTCCCAAATTGCTGAGATTGCAGGTGTGCGCCACCGTGCCTGGCCTTACTTTAATTCAGCTAAACTCCAGGAGCCACACAGAGAGTGGCTACCCGATTGGCCTGCCGGAGGAGGTCCCGACCTCTGTTGGGTGTCCCCACCCCCAACCCAATCCCAGGAGCCTCCCCTTTCCCCCAGGACATGAGTGCGGAGCAGAGCCTGGGGAAGCCGGAGCTGTACGTGGTGGGGCAGAAGGATGAGCTCTTCAACTACTGGGTCTTCTTCCAAGCTGTCGCCCACGGCATGGCCGCCTCTCTGATCAACTTCTTCATGACGCTGTGGATCAGCTGGGACACGGCGGGGCCTGCTAGCTTCAGCGACCACCAGTCTTTTGCGGTCGTGGTGGCCCTGTCCTGCCTGCTGTCCGTCACCATGGAGGTGGGCAAGGTCCCCCCTCCCGGGGACCTCGGACTTGGCCATCGAGGTCTCCTCCCCGGGGACCCCTGCTCTGGGGGCCTTGCCAGCGCGCTTCCTGGACCCCGGGGGCTGGAGTCCGGCTGCAAGCTCCGCTGGGCCGGGCTGACCCCAGGCTGCCCTTGCAGGTCATTCTCATCATCAAGTACTGGAGTGCCCTGTGTGTGGTCAGCATCCTTCTCAGCCTGGGTTTCTATGCTGTCATGACAACCACCACCCAGTGCCTCTGGCTCTTCAGAATGGCCCCCAAGACCTTCCCATTTCTGTGTGAGCCCCCGTGGGGAAGTGGGGCGGGCGGTCACCATGCAGAAGGCCCCCTTGGGAAAGGTCGCTGGTTGCCCCTGACAGTTGTCCAGCCAAGTCTCCTGGGGAAGGGGCTCCTTTAGGACCGGGCACAAAGGTGCAAAGGTGCTCCATGGCCTGGGGGTGTCCTCAGAGCTGGGGGCAGCACAGGCGGCATCCCCCAGCAGGTCCCGAGCAAGCTTACCTGTGACCCCCCCGCCCCGTCCCCAGACGCCGATGTCAGCGTGCTGTCCTCCCCGTCCATCCTGCTGGTGGTCCTGCTCAATGTGTCCTTGAACACCCTGCCTGTCCTGGGCCTCCGAGTCATCTTCCAAGCCCTCAGGAAGGCGCGTGCCGAGGTGAGGTGGGCCTAGGCCTGGGGTCCTCACCTGACACCTTCCAGGGCCCTGGTGGGGCAGCCCCGCAGGGTGGGCATAGGGGCTGCTCTGGGCCCTCCAAGATGCAGGGCTGGGGCAGAGCTCCCGACACATGCCCAGTGCCCCTGGGGGCCAGGAAGAGAGACCTCACTCCCCAGACACAGCAGCAGAGAGCACCCAAAGGCTCTCTGATCTGTCAGAATCTTCAGGCTTTTAATTAATTAATTAATTTTTATATTTTGAGGCAGGGTCTTGCACTGTTGCCCAGGCTGGAGTGCAGTGGCACGATCTCGGCTCTCTGCAACCTCTGTCTTCCGGGTCCAAGCGATTCTCCTGCCTCAGCCTCACGGGATTAT